AACCGCTACTGCAACAAGGCCGTGTCTTCTGACCTAGCACCTAAATTAAAGTTTATGGCGATCGCCATGCAACAAGGGATAAAACGTTTTTCACAGATTGACGATAATAAAATCTACCTGATATCAACTTTGTTAGATCCAAGGTTTAAGACGAATTTCTTCACGAACCAACTGCAAAAAGAAAGAGCCCGGCAGTACATTCTGGTTGAAGATTTAGTTTCAGACTATGATACCAGCAGCGATGAAAGCGTGCGTTCTTCTCCCGTGCAGTCTAAACGTAAAAGAACCGATGAGCCTGGACAAAGCATTCGCACATCTTTCTGGGAGTGCTATGATGAAGTAGTTGCTCAGAACTTTACCGATAATGACAATGGAGTCGGAATAGCTTCTACTTCAAAGAACATCATAGCAGGTGACCTTGATAAGTACTTGAGCATGAGAACTTTAAAGAGAAACGACGATCCATTTGCCTGGTGGGCTACACATAAATCTAAGTTTTCCCAATGTTTAGTCAAACTGGCTGCTAAGTACTTCTCAGCTCCTGCAAGCAGCATGTATTCAGAGAGGCTTTTTAGTGATGCAGGAAACGTATACGAAGAAGAGGAACAGACTTCTTCCCAAAAATGCGGAAAAGTTGATTTTTCTGCACCATAACCTACCACTTATTGACTTCAGTTATAGTAAATAATTTTGTACAATGAAACAAAACAGTTAATTTAATTTTCAAGTTTATAATAAAGGATGATTTCATAAAATTACAGATCATTAATTATTATTTTTTCACATTTTATGACCTAAGTTTCGATCTAATGTGCCCACGCAGTAAAAATTTTCATACAAATTTTTTACCCTTTTTCACTCCTTTAGGGTTTAATTTCGTAAAATCTTTTCTTAGTACGTCTAAACTTTAGACGTACTTTTACAAAAGGAACACACCCTAAAATTTTTAAGATTCTAGCACCAGTGGTTTTGGCTCTGCGTTAATTATCCTATCAGGACTTGTTCTTTTATATACGGGTATATAGATGACTAAACTACATAATAAGTAGGTAGTTTTCATTTTATTTGTTACCCTTTTTTGATCTCTTAAAAAATAACTTAGTTATATTACTTTTCCTTTGATCTTTTACATAAATAAGCAAAAAATTGCGCTTTCTCGATCTTGAAATGTATGTTCAGCATTGATAAAAGTTACCAAAATGATTAATTTACTGTGTTTTGTTATTTCTTACTCCTGTTTTTAGGTATTCGGTATTCGGCCGAATAGTGATTAAATATTCGGTATTCGACCGAATAGTGAAAAATAGGCCAAATACCGAATAGTGGCCGAATATTCGTTACATCACTATTGTGAACCCTTTTTCACACAAATATGGATAAATTTTGCATAATTTGCAGTCCCTGGCAAACTTCTTATAAACCCCAGGGGGTCATGGTGTCCCTGTTAAGAAACACTGTTTTAAAGTAATTTCTAATATTGATGTTTGTATTAATTTTCAGACAGGATTTACATTTTTCTGATTTGTAACATTTGAGATTAAATTGTTCTTTAATGATGTATTCTTGTTCTGTAATACAGAAATGAATTTTTTTATATTTTTTAATTATGATTTCATGTACTGAATTTAATTACTATTGCACATTTGCTTTAAGGAGCATCATCTTTTCTTTGTTAAATGTGGAAACAAACAATAATATAATTTATAAAGGATTAAAAATTATGGATTTAGTTGAAAAAATCACTGAAGTGCAAATTATTAAGAAAGATGAACCCATAGTATTACAAACAGAATTTGGATCTATCCATAGGAAGAATCAATCTTTTCAGTTTTATATTCACTTAAAAAAAATAAAGGGATTTTCCATTGGAATAAGTAAATGACCTGTGATCTTACCTAAGAATCACATGACTGATAATGCAAAATTTCTTCTTTATCATGTTGAAGCAAAGAAAAAAAAGTAAATTTTATTAAAAATGATTATTCAATCTATCAAAATAAAAAAGTTATCTATAATTTTACCAAAGACTGTTCGGTAGATTCTGTTTTTTAGTCATAGAGTGAAATTATACTATACTAATTTAGCTGACTACTAACTAACAATAAAACTGAGATTAATATTGTTAGTTGGAATATTCAAGATCAAAAAAATAAATTTTTTCAGACTACTTTCAATAATCGTTAAAGGTGTTTAATATTATAGGTTTAGTAGAAATTTAGATTATAAAATTATCAATCAAAAAAAATATTTGCAGAAGTCGTTCAATCTTATCATGGTTCCAGCATTTAAGAAAATAGAAACAGGAAGACTAATAAGAGTGCTATTATTGTTAGTTCAAAAATCTTCCGGTCAACGATTCATTCCTTTCATAATTTTTAAATTTGATTTTTACTCTATTTAAATTAGATGAAAATGAATGGAAGATTTATATTCTAAGTAATTTCAAGAAAGTCCAACTCTAATTTTTGATTACATAAATTTTTTCCGGCTATGTTAATTTAAGTAATTAATGAAATCTTTGTTACCATTTATGTTATGTTTATTTAGATTAGTGGTTTTAAAAAAATAAACCTTTTCAATTTGCATTATCTTTAAATTTAGAGAATTAAAAACATTCCCCCTGAAACTAAGTTTAATCCCTAATGTGATAAATAAACATTTGATTTGAATATAATTTATTTAATAAACTATAGTACATATTGCAAAATTACCTTTCAGTATTATTATTTTCTTCTTCTTCATCTGCTATTTCCTGTTCAGCAGCCTCTAACAATTCAGCCATCAGTTCATTAAATTCACGTTCTAAAAGAATAATCAACATTGTGTAATAATTTTATAAATGAATAAAAATGAATAAAATCATAATTATATTTTAATATATTTTATGATTAAAATATTTTTATTTAATCTATATTAATTACTTAATTTAAAAAGAAAATATAATATTCGTTAACAGACCAAAAACTAGTAATTTTAATAAAATAATTTTATCCATATATAAAAATTAGTGATGTAACGAATATTCGGTTACTATTCGGTATTCGGCCTATTCGGTCTATTTTTCACTATTCGGCCGAATACCGAATACTTAAAAACAGGAGTAATAAATAACAAAAACACAGTAAATTAATCATTTTGGTATTTAGATTTAATGTTATCGAGTTAGTGTTGTTTGTTTATATTTATTTATAACTTGTAACATGCACAAAATAAAAAAGAAAATAATATTAGTCACATGTATTCACAATTTATAATTACAAAGATCAGCACACGTACACGTCTATCGTTGGAGAATCCTCGCACATCTGAGGGTCTGACCCTGCCTATCCTTCTTTTTAAGCGCTCGTCTTTGCTCTTCCCTTTCTCTTTCCTCTATCGCTCTAATCCACGTATGCCTGTGCATACATCATAATACGCGCTCACGATACTTTCGATTCGTCACTTTTCCGTCGTAGAGTTCCCATTTTACAATTACGTGACTCAGCCTGGTGATAACGGAGAAAAGAGACAGATAGGACGTCGATATAAGTCACAGTTATGATTTCACAGATTCGAGACAGCTTGATAGCCCGAACGGCCCCAGGCTTTCGCCCGTGCACGCTAAGTGACTTTCATTACAAGCATTTAGCTTTCCGAAGTCTATGACAACAATTGTTTGGCATTGACGGCCGCGAATTTCGTGCCAATAAGCTGCCTCGACTTGTTCGATTATGTTATCAACTCAATTTCATATTTATTTTCACATTTTCACTTCGCGGTCCTTCTCTGTTCTTTTTCCGTTATTTACAAATGTAGGTCATTTGATATCATCATTTATCACATACTTCCATGACACTCTTGTCTGTCGGCTACAACTGCCAAGAATTAACGCGATTGGCGAAGCGTAGTGACAGCGGGCCAATGGAGAGCAGGATCCTTGCCATAATGCGGTTTGCGCGCCAATTTTCGTACGTGCGTTAATCAAGCCGAATAGTTTGGCCGAATATTCGGCTATTCGGCCACGCTCCTGGCCGAATATTCGGTATTCGGCCTGAGGCCGAATATACTATTCGTTACAACACTAATAAAAATCTTTTTATTTTAAATAGAAATAAATATAAAAATAACTTTTATACACAAATAAAGAGATAAAGTATATTTTAAATAATCTTGAATAAGTAAAAAGCATTCTAAGAATAATACATATTAATTTATTAACGAATTAACATTTTTAATGTTAATTGTTTAATGGTAGTAATTTCTAAATATATCTTAATAATTTTATAGTAATATGTTTAATCTTGAATGCAATGTAGTATTACTATGTAGTAAAACATTATGTTGAAACAACAAATTTCATCATTTGAAATTTATCATTAATTGAAACTGATAGAATAATACTTTTATATTTACAAAAATACATAAGATAGTAAAAAACACTTGTAAATTTATTTGAAACATTCAAATAAATTTACCTTATGTAGCTTAAAACCTGAGACAGGTTTATAAAATAAACCAAAACGTTTGTTTATTAAACCTATTTGTTGGAAAAGTGTGATTTTACAAGTTATCACTTTCAGCTTTGATTTTGGATTTCAGTATGTTGTAATTTCAAATATGACTTGAATTAATAAATTTTTCAAATGAAAATGAATTAAATTATTATTATAAGAACAAAAATTAATATTTTTATTTATATTTTATACAAATACAAAGACTAATTTTAGTACTTATATTCATGAACTTATCTGTAAAATCTGAATATGATGAAATATTATAATCAACATCCAATTATAAAACTATGAAAACTAAATCATAATTTTTAAGTTAAAGATTATGAAATAATTTAGATAAAATTGGACTAATAAATTTTATTAATAATTATTCTGGTTTGGCTCTGCATTATTAATTTCAATTAGAATCATTTTTATTAGACTTTTTTAAATAAATTATTTTATTGATAAAATCTTTCAATAGACTGCAAAGATTTGTAAGAATAGAATAAAAAGTAAGAAAGTTCTGTAATACCATATTCATTTGATATTACCATTATTATTATTACAACTCATTTGCTTAAATTCAAGTTACAATATTTTATAGATCAAAGAATTTGACAGTTATGATTAAGTTTTAATTGGCTGATTTTAATTATACTTATAAGTAATTGTAATTAAAATCTCCACTTTATTAATGTAGGTAACCTTCCATATATGCAGTTAATTGATTTTACAAATACACTGCATATATCAAAACCACACATATCAAAGAAAACAATCAATAGGAAATAACTTAATTCATGAATTAAGTTATTTCCTATTGATTATATGAAAAAATTAATTCATGAATTAGATCGTTAAGAATTCTTCTAAAATTGTAAATTTTTACATTTGTATTTCTTTTGGCAAAATAAAAACATAGGAAATGAAGAAATCAAGTTAAAAAAAGTTTATTGAAAAATTATTAATTAAACATTTTAGACAAAGTGCTGCGTAGTTGAATACAAAAATAAAAACAAATTATGGAAAATAACATTAATGACTGATTGTAGAGAGTTTAAACTAACCATTAATGTAACTCAAAAAAGAAATGCATGAAGTAAAACTTTTAAAAACAAAGCAATATATTTATCATGCATTGCCTGCACAGTTGCTTCCTTCTTTTCTCTTTGTAGAATTTTTCTATAAAAGCTGAAGAATTAAAATGTAAATGCTTGCAGAAATTACACTAAGTGTGAAAACAGAATAAGAGCACTGCACTAGAAAAACTAAAATTCACTTTTTCCTACTAACTAACTAAAACTGAGTCTGTGGAAAAGGGATTGGTTCTGCATTACTAGCTCTGAGCTATTTTGAGCTGACAATGTTAAACTTCCCTTAGAACTAACCTACATTAACTGAAACCAACACTCATCAAAATGGCATATATATCCAGGATTACCTATATATTACTAATTTTACTTTCATAACAAAACTTTTTACAAAATTAAGAATATTTAATTTCATACTGGAAATTTTCACAGCTCGATCATTTCTGAGATCCCATTTATCAAGGACATCTTCTTCTTCAAGAAAATTATACTCTGGATCATTTACATCATCTTCTGGCATATCATTTGAATCTATAAAATCTAAAAAACCATAATTATATAACAAACAAACAAAATCTATAATTTAAAATAAATAATAAACTCAAATTAATATCAAATAGTTAACAATAAAACCTGTGTAAACCAGAATTGCATAGTATCAAATATTTTTCCTGTTTAGGCAGGTTTCTATTTTACTCAGATTCCATTCTGAAAGGTTTTACTGTATTATAGAGTTTTAAACAAAAGAGACTGTACATAACTTTTTTAAATTTTAGTTTAAAGAATAAATCCTGACATTTATATATGAATTTGAATAACTAAATGTAGTTTGACCCATTTTGGAAAGTTATATTAATACTATTTTCTGTATAGGTGAAAATCCACATTATCTTCCAAAAACCAAAAGTTATAACATATTACGTGTAAATTTGTTTATCAAGAAATAAAACTGCATTTAATATCTTAAATTTGTGGCCAGATGGCCGAGTTATCAAGGTGGCAGCCTACCGCTCTGGGGGACCCGGGTTCGAATCCAAACGGGTTGAAAAATCTCCAGGAATTTTTCAGGGGGTGGTCCATTTGTATATGTTGGGCCCTGTCCCTCACCACTTGGCAGCCCAATTGTGGGCCTAGCCGAACCCATAATGGGCTTGCAAAAAGAAGCCCTCTTAGTGCCCACAGGGTGGAAAGAGTTTAAAAAAAAAAATCTTAAATTTTTAAAAATTCTGTCCTTTGGGCACTAAGAGGGTTTTTCCATACTCATCATGGGTTCAGGCAGGCATATAATGAGGGAGGCCAAGTTGTAACAGATAGGCCTGATATATCCAGGACTGATCACCCATAAAAAATTTCTGTGGGTTTTCAATACCCCAGATTCAATCCTAGTTCCCCAGAGCAGCAGTTCATTTCACTGCATTTAAAGATGATGATAAAGATTAACTAAAACAATTCCCACAAATGAAGTGGTAAAGAATTTAGTGAATTATGTAAGAAACTTACCAAGAGGTTTACTAAAAGTATTTAGAAAATCTTTCCATTCTTCATCATCACATTCAGAATCATACATATCTATAGTAATGTCAGGTGCAACAAATGATGCTTCGATATCTTCTAATGGAGTATCATTCAAAGGAAGTTTTGATCTTGTTCTTAAAGCAATTCTGTCTGTCTGTAGTTTTAAATAACTATTATTAATACAGTCATCAAAACTTAAGCAAATTTTACGAAAATATTTTTACAAATGTTTGATAAATTAATGTTCAGCTGTAATAATATAATTTTTAAAATTGTTTATTTTAGAAAAATAAAGAAATTCTGAAATCAAAAAATTCTTACAATTGAAATTAGTAGAGAGAATTTTATTTCAATAACTTAGAATATTATATAAATAAATATTTATTAATTTTTAAATAAATTTAGTTTAATTAAAAGTTAATAGTTATTTAATTATTTAAATTAAAATAATTATCTAATGTCAATGCAATTTTACAAATACAGTTTTAAATACAATCACATGACAATACTTGGTTTAATTGTCAGTCATTTGAATGATTCAGCAAAGGCATTAGCCTTGCTACACTAGAGAACTCAGAGACTGATTCTTTGCCTCAAATGTTTAACATGCAATCACTATCAGTCTTAACCAGTGCTTTAAACATTAATTGTTTTAATCATTATATACAATAGTTAAACTGTTGGCATTATGCCTCCTGTTGTTAAAACTGGTAGCAAGCAAACAATATTGAATGAGTTATATATTAATAAATAACAATAAATCTTCAAATAATACATTATTTAATTGTTTTAACATGTCCTTTTAATGCCAGAGTCAAAAAACCAAAATTTCCAATGACTTTGTAGTCTTATTTAATTACTCCACTTAATGTTATCAGTCAGTTGTTGTTATCAGTTTAGGTGAGTCCCAAATCATTACAATTAACAAAATGTCCTGTATATGTTTGTTTATATAAGGAAAAAGAATAAGAAAATTTTCACAATATATTGAAATTTCTGAAGTGGTTAACAGAGATGCACACCTAAAGTAATACTGAAAATTTCCATATTAATCTATTTATATATGAGTAAGATATAACTCATCCATATCAATCTATTTGTATCTAGATGGGACAAGTTCACCCATATGTAACAATGAGAAGATTAAAATGATCATTTTATGTGATTAAATTGAAAAATTTGTTAATTACATTAAATGTATATGACCAAATATTTTAAAAATCTGTGGAAACAACTTACTTCTTGAGAAATAGCATTTGAAGGTGAGCAGTTATCATTTGAAAATTCCTCAAGTGTATCAGATGAGGGCGTACGAGGAGTATTTGGATGTGAATATTGAGGAGATCCAATGTCGCTTGGCTGGGATAAAGGTTCATCATCTTCACTGTGACACTAAAACATTTAATTTCTCATTTTAATAATTAAACAAATTAAAATCTAATAAAAATAATATAGTTTTAAATTATTGTTGGTAATTACATACTGCAGCTAAATTAAATAGATTTTCATATTAATAAAAATTGTTTAAAATTTATTTTTTCAAATCATATTTAATTTTACTCAATTGTTGAAAATATAATTTAAAATAATCAATGGATTGATATTCACACAAATACTGTATAGTTGGACGGAGAAATCACTTGTACTTGCGATAAATGCACATATAATGCCAATCTCAGTGATTTCTCTGTCCTACTATATAATTTAAAACTGAAATATTTAATAATAAAATTTTTAAATATTTATATCTTTTAATATTAGAATCATTAAAATTAAACATGACAGAAATGTAATATGAAATTTATTAAAATTAAGTCTACATGCAAAATACTGCATATAATAATTTAACAATGAAATTCAGCAGCTTAATCATCAGCTAAATAATGCTGTTATTTCATTTCTTATTTGTTTTATTTCTTAAAAACAATTAAAAATTTAAAAAGTTGAGTTTTATCATTGAGGATATTTAACAGAGCTCCTTATATTGAACATGATTCCAGATTACTGATGAAATTAAATACATCTACATTTCTTAAAAGCTGTAAATATGCTATGAAAACTTTTTAGTCTTTAATTAAAAATACAATTTTCTTATTCATTTTTAATATTTCTTATGCTACAATATTGTAACAGCTTGTAAATGAATTATTTAGGACTGGAAAAACTAGTACAAATACAATTTGGAAATTTCCATACAGAAAATATGGATGTAATAATAATTTACTAGTTCCCAAGTGTTGTTTTACTATGGGATAAACTGGAATTCATTATAGAATAGTATGCATTTGGAAGACCTATCCAATAACAATCAAATATTTATTGTGACATCATCACAACACTGAGCTGAAATTTTTAATCATATTTTTAATTTACTTAATTTAAAATATATGCTCTTTACCTCAAATTAGTAGTATCTTGCCCCTGTACATCATACTTTCCTGTTATTTTTTTTTACCTTCTATTTTTTGTTTGTATTTGTTTTGTCTAGTGTGTTTTATTTAGTAGAAAGCTAATTAAACAAAAATAGAAACTTGCTCCTACCATAAATATAAATTTATTTATACGTTAATTTTCATTTTGTAATACTTTTGTATTTATGTATTTGAAATAAACTAAATAATAATAAATATATCAATACTATAATAATATATTATATTTAATCACTGCATTACAATAAAATAATTCAAGTAGTTTCAGTTGACTTGACATGTACTGATGCATCTTATGTTGTTATTGAATTGTAATAAGTAAAAATTGCCAAGCTCTTAATTCAATACATTTTACAGTTACTTAAGCAGTACATAATTGCAGCTATTTGACAAATATATTTAGTGGATTTCTCAATATTAATAAATATCTAAAAATTGACTTCAACAGCATTAAAAATATAACAAATTTAACATGATTTGAGACTGAATTAAATAAAAAAAAAATTCACAAGAAGAAAAGAAGGAAAAACCTCAAGGAATCAATTTGACTAGATTATCAGACTGTAAATAAATGACAAATTCTGAGAAAATTAAATATCTTAATACAGAATATATGAATATACTACATATACAGTGAGTGATCGGTTAATGAACAGATCGAATAACGAACAAATTGGATAACGAACACTTTCGCGAAAGATTTTTATGTTCGGACAATGAACACATGATTGGATAATGAACACCCCACACAACAACACAAGAAGAAGCAATGTAAAATAATGAATACCAATTAGTCTTCCCTTGTCTTCAAGCAGCAATTCAAAACTTTCCAGAGTGTGGGAGACGTCAACATCGACGCTCAACCCGGTATATACCGATCAGATAGTTTTCCTCCGAACTTTGAAATTCTCCCTTGTAATTCAAGCCTTTTATTTTTCTGACAAAACAATTCTTTTGTGTATTCGCGAGACTGTCAGGTAGACACTCGTTAAGTTTTGTGTCTGTTTTTCTTTTTGAAAGGTGAGAGTATAACAGCAAAGGTAGAGAGTGGGCAGAAGATGCCTAATGTTGCTGGGCAATATGGCATAAACAGGTCTACAGTAGGCCTCACTTCAATCTTATTTAAGAAAAATGCTGTATAATCAAGAAGACTCCAGCAGCTAAAGGAGTAACAAAAATCACATCTGAGAAATAAAGAACATTGAAGAGTTCGTAATGGAACCTGAAACAGATCTGATGACAGAAGAATGCCAAGAACTCTTGAATGAAGAACATTAAGAAACTCAGCGAGATATGTTTTCTTCTGAAAAAGAGGATTAATGCCGATATCTGTTATTAAAGATCCTTTGTAGAAGTGGGAGGATGTCAGAACAACGGTCTTAGAATGGCATCCAAACCAGGTTGAGGCTTGGGGATCTCTACAATTACAATGCTATTAATTAATTACTTACGAAAAATTGTGAAGAAGAGAGAAAAGCAATCGACATTAGACAGATTCTTTAACCCTTTCAAACGGAAAAAACATGACTAATAAAAACGCAAGACTGTGTATGTATGTAAGTTTTATTATTACATATAAATAAACGTAGTAAGAAAGTATATATTTTTTATTTTTTGGGGTCTCCAGAACGAATTAATTAAATTCCCATTAAAACCTATGGTAAATCGATAATCAGTTAACGAACAATTCGGATAGCAAACAAAGTCTTGGAACGGATTATGTTCGTTAACCGATCACCCACTGTATTTTCAATTATTTTCCTAAATAATTGTAAAGTTGAATAATACTAAGATTAATATTTGCATTCATAATTCAATCTGTAAAAATTTAATTCTTTTTATTATTTTTTTATCTTGTTAGTTTATATTTTAAGGGATGATATTTGTTGATATTTTAAGGGATGGTATTTGTTTTTATAATATATTATTGTAGGGGGTGGAAATCATATGTCTGTCAAGACTTTCCCTTTAAATGTAATGAAATAAATAAATAAAATAAATTCTATTTACAAAATTTTTACAAATAAATATTTATTAAATTTAGATATTCTTACCAAAGCTTCTTTATTTGGTTTATATTCTTCATCAGAACTTTCATCCTCAGAAAATTCTTCTTCTAATAATTTTTTAGTAGTAGATACTTTACTAGTTTTTAATGGTGAAACTGGCCAAGGTAACTGAAAAATAATTTTGATAATGTAATTTTGTTTTAATAACAATTGAAAATGCTTTATGTTGAAATTAAAACTTGTATAATTATTTTAACTGTTAAAATACATTAAATAAAACTTAATTAAAAAACATAAATATAATTAACTTCTTACAGTAACTTGTTTTTCCATTAATTCCCTAGCTTTAGAACGTGTTAACTTTGGTTCATATATTGCTTCTTCTACATCATCATACTTGCCTTCATCCATCTTCATTGTATTTCGTACCATAGATAAAACATATTCATTTGTAATAACATGCTACATAAATAGTTATTTAAATTAATTTCATATATGTGAAATAAAATGTTTAAAATTTTAAATTAAACAATAATATATAATTAATATAGAAATGCTTATAATGATTTTATTTTTATAAAAATCACCAACCCGAAGTATATTCTTCACATTTGTTGATGTCAATTTATTTTTTTGTGCAGTTTCTTCCAATAAGTAGTCTATTTCTCCTTGCATACCTTCTAACATATCATCTATTTCTTGTGCACAAAACTCGTCTTGTTTTCTTTTCCTTCGAATTTTCTTCTTTTCGATGATTTCTAACTTTCCTTCATCCACATTAATAGATTTATTTAAGTTATCTGGTCCAGACATTAATAATTTTCTTCTTACTCTAGTATTTTTTATTTTTGTTGATGATGACACATCACACATAGATGAAGTTTGATTTAACAACTCATGATGTTGTTCGCAATTCCAAATGTCTTTCCATAGCTTTGGTTCACTTTCAACTTTACTTGATATAACAATATCTGTATTATTTTCTGGAATTATTTGTTTTTGAAAATTCTTTATTTGTTCAGGACTTTTGCACAATTGTGATACATCACCACACTTAGCATTTGCATTCATTCCCATAATATAACTTAAAGCATCATTGGATTGATTTGATGGAGAAGTGACTAAAATTTCTCCAGCATTATCTACAATTGTTTCACTGTTTGAAAAATCCATTGTCAGAAAGCCAGGACGATCAGTATCAGAACCATATATATCGTTTGAATGAAGTGTTTGGTTTTTATCTTTATTTAGTATGTTCTTTTCAATATCTTCTGTATGTTTCTGTTTCATATAAATTGCATCACTTTCTTTGGAATTTTCACAATGAATTATTCTACGTTTCTTCAATGGTTGCTTTGCTTCAGGAAGTGTTGATAAATATTTCTTTTGGCATCCTTCAATGCCTTGATTATTACTTTCAATAATTTCCTTTACTTCAGACATTTCTTAATATTCACTTAAATCTTTCTATACAGTGCTCTTATTATTCAACCATCCATGCTGTAAATAAACAATTATAATTAAACAAAATAAGATTAAAATATTTATATAATATTTTGTCTTAATCTCATAATTACTTCAAGATCTAAAAAATTTAAATGCAAATTATGAAATAATGGCTGTTGTTTCATTTTTATATTTTATTTTCAAAGTATAATAATTATAAATAAAAATTTCAATAATTATACAACATATAAAAAAAATATTAAAGTTATAATCAGTATATACATCTATTTTCATGCATTATTTAAAATACTTCTTTTATAATCTTAAAAATGTTGTTCTAATAAAAGGTTCCTATAAATTATACACCTAATTCTGCTTTTACACAATAGATTGGTTCCTAGAAATTACATGTAAAAGAAAATCGTGTAAAAAAATACATTGTATATATAGAAAATTAGAAGATTGGTTACGGACCTAAGAAATCAATGAAAATAATGAAATAAACCATATGAAAAATCTTGTTAGAATCTTATTTTTTTGCGTGTTATCAAATTTTATTTCATATACAATGCATATAAATGAAAATGAATTATAGAAACAGAAATTTTATTTGAAAAACAAAAAAAACGTAAAGAATTAATGAATATAAAAATTAAGCAGAACATGTAATGTAAGTTATACATAAGATTTCATTCGCTGTCACTTTCTGGCAATAAACGTATATGTTTGTGCATAATTGCAATATCACTGCTATTACTAAAAATGCTTTGGTTATTGTGTTCTTTGTCCACAGGTGTTCTTTCTGTAAACTCTTGAACAATGTTAGCAGTAATGTCCTATGGTGCTGATGTTACAGTTGTTTTATGAATGAATTCGGTTATTAATGGCTAGGCCTTTATATAATTCCTAATAAGACATTAACGATTTCAGATTACGTTGAAACTTTAAAGCTCATTCCTCAATAAGATCATAACTGACAAAATGATTATCCAATTTGTTATCTAGATTACCTTTGTTAATTTGCATTTTTATATGCAAATTATTTGATTTTCTATAAAAAATATGCTTTGCAAAAATTATGTTAATTCATATAAAATCTTTTGTACGTATCATTAAAACAACTCATGTAAAAAGAAAATTGTTTTTTAAATTGTGTTAAAAATTGTTTAAAAAAGTTCATGTAAAAACAGAATTAGGTGTATTTATATTCATTACTAAAATATGTTTATCATTTATGAATAATACAAACTTATGAGAATGCTTAACAAAAACAAAATATCCACAAGCCAGATCATTATTTACACTTGACTCCATATTTCTAAGTGATTGTATTTATTTGGTCATCCATATGATTACTCACTTCAATAAAAATTAGATATGGTTAATCATACATCTGATTTTTATTGAAATAGATTATTGCATCAATTAGTCTGTAAAAAAAAAAAATAATAAATAAATAAGCTTATTATTTTCTTTACACAGGTATTACTATCTTGTAATATATACATATAGGTATTTCTTGTATAACACGGTAGTTATGTTTCGAAAAAGTGGAGTGTTATGCAAATCCACACTACATGAAACAAAGGACTAATGCAAAACATAGGGTTATGTTCCATAGGCTTTATGAAAGCAATCAGTAATTTATTTCCAATCAATAATTAACTAACAATCACAATTAAAAGTACTGTATTATGTGTTAATATTAAATTTAATTAAATAAGAGTGTTTTCTTTTTACAAAGTATCATCATCATCTCAGATTTTTTGTTGATTTTGATCAGAAGTATCAGAAACATTTTCATGTTTTTTATTTTTATCATAAAAAAAATTTTATGAATGAAGAAATAGAAATATGTCATTAATCGAAAATTTGTTCTAGTGGATTGTATTTGTTCATTAAATTTGTGTTCAAATACTGAATTATTCAATTATTAATTAAGATGCCACTATATTTTGTTTGTCATTTTACAAATGATTGCTTACCTACAGTTTAAAAAAAGTTTAATAACACTTACCTAAAAATGTTTAAATAAACTTATAAATATGAAGATTAATCTATAAAAACAAAATACAGTGAGAGTCTTAAGGGTTAAAGTCTGAAGCAATGACAACACTAGTTGATAGGAAAGTTAGTGTAATTTTTTTCTTCCTTGTCCTATCAGTTTTCATTAAAGTAATCTGACAAAAAGTACAAAATAGTTTGAAAATTTAAATATTATAAAATCTGTGGGCAAATTTGAGACAACATGCATGCTTACTTGAATAAAATAAAAATATTGAATAAAAAAGTTTACACTTAAAAATTGTGAAATTTTGTATGGAAGACTTCCAAAACAGTGTTAGAGTAAAACTGGAAGTTGTGTTGTACAGGTGATATCCCCACTTTTTGAACTGTGTTTAGAAGTACCATGTTGTATGAGGGATACCTGTATATTTAATATATGCAAAATTTTAAAATATTTTATAGTAGCAAATATATATAGCATATTTTGTTCAGATTTTGTTTTGGCAGTTGTCATGTGTTTCATTTATCAATTTCTATGATTAATATAATAAGTTTAACATAACATGGGATATGTGGACTGTTTAACAAAGTATAAGCAAATCAAATCTGGACAAAACTGGGTGATATAAGCTATCTGGTTTCACATACTTTTACAAACTGCATTCAGGCAATTAAGGTAAGAGATAATCTGTAAATGAATGAATCAAGGATAAGAGAATTAAATATTTTTGTTAAGCAAATAATCCTATACTTATATATTTTCTGTAGTGTTTTATATGAGTGTGTCCTATTATGTCTCATAAGATATTATCTGATTCAATAATATAAAAAATATATAGACAGATAACATAGAATAATGCTTAATTATTGTGTTTCACTTTAATCATAGCATGTCTTGGTTTAGGGGCAATACATGTATCATAATTTTATTATCTGTACTAAAGAACAATGATAGATTAATTAAATAGAAACATCTCATGGAAGTGAAATTTATGTGATGATTTAAGAATATCTATTTCTCTGGTAATGCAATCTTACATAATACTACCACTCAAAAACTGAATATACTTGAACTAATGCTACTAAGAAACCTAATATCCATCAGAGAAGTTCGGAGGTGCTAATGTTTTCACCTGTGTTGAATGGGCAAAAACATTAGCACCGCTGAATTCTCTGCTGGATATTAAGTTTTTAGGTGGCTTTAATGCAATCCTAGATTACAGATTATGTACAACTTTATTTTAATTTAGAATACCATTTTAAATTACATGTCAAATATTAGTATCAACAACAAGAATCTAAAACAATAAAAAACATGTTTAAAAATATAGAATGATCAGTGCACATAAAAACATGGCTTAAAAAACAGAAAAAGATATTGCACTTGTTGATTAAAAATAAAATTGTTTTCAATGCAGGCATGCATTCAAATTTATGCAAACTTTAAAGGTTGAGGTGGGACATGATGACAGACATTAGAGGTATTCTTGTAGTGTATTCAAGCAAACTGAATAACAACTATATGTTCCAGTAGAGGGAAAAGAGATGAGAAGGTACTGTATGTCACAATGGCTGCATGTAGCTATTAACAATTTGGCAATGTAAAATAGAAATAGGTGCAGGTCATGATGACCCACACCAATTTTATTTTACATTGCCAAGTTGTTAATAGTTACATGTGCCCATGAAGACCTACACCACCTCTTATAGGATCAAACCCTGGATGATTATTGTGGGGAGTGAACTAACCGTATGCAAAATATTATTTTTAAGTTATTTTATTTGTTCTGTTTTTCTGGCAGCATTGCTCCTTCTTGACTTTTCTTATCTAGCAACAATAAACTAGCGGTAAATGTTACACGCATGTGGAGTGGTTTCATTTAGATTTGAGCTTGTTTAGGGTTTAACAAATTCCACAATAAAATAGTATATAATTTTAAAAAATTTTGTTTTAAAGTTTTTAGTTAGATATACTTAAAATTTTAAGTTTTTTTCAATTATTAAGTGAAAATGACAACAAAGAAATGTATTTAGTTTGATAATGAAGATATAACAAATGAACTGCTTTGACGGATTGAAGAAGACAATCCGGTCCCCTTAACAGATGAGGAAAATAATTAATTTATGATGCAGTGGGAAAGATCATAAAACAAAAACTGTATGTATAAAATGAAATACCTGTAATGATCTCCCTTTTATTATACACTGTAAATATTAAAGACTTGATAACAAAATATAAAGGTCAAAAATGTTAATTCATATTTTTGCATTTTTAGAAAGAATAAATTTTCATTCTTTGTTGTCTATTTCTTATATTTTGTAAATAAAACTACTTATAATTAATTATCATAAAATATAAAACATAAATCAATTTCTTATATCAAAAATAAAACACAAATTCACACGGAATGAATGACACCCAGTGCAAAGTGTTTTTTTTTCACATTTCTTTCATATTTTCACTGAAAAACCTTCATTTTCTGAGGTTTATTATATTTGCATATCAAACAGACTCCTAAAGCCATAGATGCAAGAAATAATAATTCTTCATTTTACAGTCACACACTCCTTATTCAGTGTACATATTTTAGATAGAGAAATTCAATGTTACTATCAAAAACAGTTTATCTTTTTTTTGTCAAATTTTGTGTGCATAATGTATTCATAATGTAAGAAACATTTAAGGTATTGTTTTGTCCAACTTACTTTACAATGAAAAAAAAAAAAAACCACCTTTATAATGTTAATACTAACATAAGGTTTGTTTGTTTATATCAGAAATTAATAAAAATAAATTTTCATTTTTTATTATATACATACTGTATATAAATATCCCAAAGCCTGATGTATTAAAAATAAACCAGATGACAGCCTTAATTAATCGAGTTACGTAACGGTGGATGGTTATATCAAAGGTTTAAATGTGTCTGGAAGTAAAGAGTCGCTCGGAGGTCCAAGTGGCATAACTGGACAATGCACCACACGATAAGAGGAGGTTGTAGGTTTGATTCTCACTCCATTCTCTTCCAAACTGTTCTAAAGTATATTAAATTATTAATTTCAAGAAAAGATTACAACTAACATCTACCTCTAGTATCAAATTACTTACTTTCTAATTATTAGTTGTAGCATAAAAACAGCCCAATTAATTAAGGCTGTCATTTGGTTTATTTTGTTATTATTTTTTTGTTTTGTTTATTATACTTGAAACATCCTATATAAAAGTATCATTAAGAAAAAATAAATAAATTAGGGGAAAGAAAAACCAAATTGTCATATGGGGGCATACAGCCCATAATAATCATAGAATGATGACTGAAGAGCAATTAATAAAGGAAACTGTTTTGTCACATATATCACTTTTCCACTCACTTCTTTAGTTTTATTTTAATAAAAACTGACAATTCACACAGTTAATAAAATTTTTGTTTTTTTTTTTCTGGATACAATATTAATTGAAGTTAAAGATTTCACTCTATTTAGTAATATAAGTTAGTTAAGAAGATAACAAAGTTTTAATGAAAAATACATTATTAAATATTTCAAATCAAATTCTCGAATGATAGAATTTTTAAAAATAATATTTGAAATTAGATAACATTTATTCAAGAGACTTTTAAAAAATCATAATTTTGTAACATTACTGTATTTTGAACTGTATATTGGCAATATGCTTCTGCAGGGTGCGAAATAGATGGTGCCGACCGTGCCAAGACCGGGCTAATAAGGACAAGTGCACAAATACATGCGGAGTGTTGGTCGACGACACAGAGCACGGAGAATAGGCAGTATACCGATACACATTAAAAACTGACCTTTGAAGGCAAATATCTCGCAAGAGGTCGCATGTACAGGTACGGTTCCTTTGATATTTTTGCTCGTATAAGAGGTCTACAATTCTCGGGGGTGCGAAACCCCTCATTCAGAGCTCGAATCTTACCCAGCCCAGACTGACCAGCTTCTCTAAAGTCATCTTTGCTCTATGTGTATGGCAGTATCGGATTTTGTCAAGTATCGGACGAAGTTCTTTGATTACGGTTGTACAAGTTACTTTATTTACAAGCTAGGACGAAGAACCACAGTTAATAGATATTATAGAATGAAACAAATGGAGGTAAATTATAGAAAGAAAAGAAGTATTAAACAAATGATCTGCAATCATAACAAAAGCATTTTAAATGTAAAAAATATGATATTTATTTCTAAATGAAAATGGAACAAATTATCAATGGAAAAATCAACCACAAAACTGTATGCAAGTGAAGTCATTTAAGTTCCATTTCTTGCATAACAACAATGTATATAGAAGATTTTCATTACGTTACACAATAATTTTATATTATCTGAAGTAAAAAGCTGGTCATGATAATCCCAATTATATTTTCTATTAATTTTTAAATCTTATACTGATCTGTAGTTACGATAACGCTATTCAATTAACCGATGAAGTCGGCTTATAACAAAAACATTTCGATATAAAAATAAAAAAATCATTCGACTTTACCTTCTGATACAAATGTAAACAATCCTCTAACATTATGATTAAAACCTTTAGTTTTCCATCTCGCCGTTCGAGGTCACTCTGAGTTTGTTTTTGAAAATGTAAAAATAAATACGATTATAAATTATTTTTACATTTTCAAAAAGTTTAAACATTTCGAATATAAAATCTTAGATAAATTGAATTTAATATAATATATAATAGTAAACAGTAAATACTTATGTATTAGCTGTTACATAAATCTGTGTAATATTTTCGGTTAATTTTTCGGACTCTTATAGCAAGTCCATAACGGACTCTTATAGCAAGTCCATTATGGGTTCGGCAAGGTCCACAATGGGACGGCCGGGTGGTGAGGACACGGGGCCCGACATATCCGGATGGACCACCCCGCGAAAAATTTCTGGGGATTTTTCGATCCGTCCGGGTTCGATCCCGGATTTCCCAGAGCGGTAGGCTGCAATCTTGACCGCTCGGTCATCCGGTCAGTTTGCTTCCCACTTGCAAACTGCAAATGGACCTGTGAAAATATGTGGACAAGTTCTATAATCCAAAAAGAACGTATGAAGGGTTTGATGCTTATTTGGTTATGGCAACGGAACACTTGGGCAATCTGCCTAGGGGGATGCCTTCCGTGAGGTCTTTTTAATCGTCTTCCTACTTCAAGTTTAGACAAAATACTCAATTACCATTTAAGTAGAAAGCGAAATTTATAAAGCAGAAATCAGCAAAGAAGTTTTTAAGAATAGAGTTCACCTTCATATCATTCTGGTAAAAGATTTTATTTTCAGGAGACGGTGTGACTATCAGGACGTAGGATGGCGTAAGGCCTCGTTTTTTATATAAAATGCAACGAATGTCCTATGATGGTAACGCAACGTGGTGTCCCTAAAATTAGCATGAAATCTTATCGACTCGACACACTGCCGATAAGTGTCAGCGGTAAGTTCCTTATTTTCAAGCACTTAATTGAGAATTAACCTGGTGAGACTTGAGGTTCTAGAATATAAGGCTGTCTTAACAACTTATCACCAGATTCCGGATATACCGAACCGAATGCCAAGCCACTGCTTTACAACAGTTAAGCAGGGAAAGAAACGTTCAAATCCGACTATTTTTGTTATTTTGTAAGAGTTTTTCCATTTTAAAATAAATATATCTATTGTTTTTATCGTCACGACTAGGTGCATAGATAGATACAGGGCATTTCTACATCATCTTTATTCGGAATATCCTATAGACCGATAAAACTTTAATTAAAACCAGGGCTGTGGAGTCGGAGTCAGAGTCGTTAAAAAATCCGCCGACTCCGACTCCTTTTTACTTACCAACTTCTTATG